AGATATATATATAGATATATAGATATAGATATATAGATATATAGATAGAGATAGATATATAGATAGATATATAGATATAGATATATATATAGATATATAGATATAGATATATATATAGATATATAGATATAGATATAGATATATATAGATATAGATATATATAGATATAGATATATCTAAAGCCATGTGTACAGCTTAATGAACTGCCCATCAGCTGTCAGTGTGACAGTAAACAGCCTGAGAACATCGGTGTGCATTCAGAACGTACTCTTTGCGTCTCTTGCCGTGGAAGAAGCTGGCCCACTCGAAGCAGGTCTTCTTACTGCCCACCCAGAACACAGAGGGGATGCCCGCGATCAGCATCATCACGTACTTGATCAGGAACAAGGCCAGGTCAGGACGGCTGGTGCGCTCCACCTACAGGGCACAGACATGCACAGGGCTGTGCTTATTCTCTGGAATGTGTGTGTGTGTGTGTGTGCTCTATACCATCACTGACAGAATACTCTAACAGCTGATAACTAACAGTCCTAGTAGTATTTTCTGCTGCTTCCTACGTGTTTTTTGTCTTTTCACTTCTCTTTCATGGTCATTCTACGGTACTTACCAGTGCAGGTTAACATCTAACAGGTTTTATGTTCACTTCATAAATATTAAAGTCTCTGTCTAGTGCAGATCATATTTGTGGTGATGTAGGATTGAAGTAACTGTAGGTCAGTGTGGATGCAACTATCATAACAAGGCATTGCATGTACAAACAGTGTAAATACTGTTCTACGCTGACTGTGAAGTCTTTCATCTCCAGTAGAGAAGACGTAACGACGCCGTGCCGAGTCACCACACTGCTGCCTGCTGCCAGCTGGCCTGCACTGAAGCCCAGAATCAGGATCTCCTCCTCTCTTTCCGTCGCATTATGTGCTCACTATCACGCAGTCCCACACAGACGGAGTCATAGTGGACTCATTATGAGTGGGCCCTGAGGCCCAGCGATCCACACTCATTACAGCAGAGAGACGAGAGACTACAACCAACGTCCTCATTACAGACAGTATGGACTACGTTCTGCTGCTACACAGGAGCTTAGGGCTCGATCACCAATCTGTGTGTGTGTGTGTGTGTGTGTGTGTGTGTGTGTGTGTGTGTG